TATTTTTATTTCCTCTCCTCTCCCAAATCTACCTTATTTTTGGAGGAGGAATGATATTTATCTATCTCATTTTAAGGCTAAATTGATGCGTAAATAGTAGAGATAGAGAGAAAAAAAAATATTAGAAAAAGTAATAGAAATGATAAGTCATATAATAAAAAAAGAAGATAAAAAGAAAATGAGAAAGTGAAATAAAATAGAAAATAAATATACCGTAAGTTTTATTAATCTATTTTATACATAATTAAATATTTAGAGTGAGAACTTTAATCCTACTTAACTCAAACAAGATTGTCTCTAATTATAAATTAGTGTGATAATTTGTCTTATATACGAGAAAAGATTTGTTTATTCCAAGAATAAGTTTAGACTTATTCTGTTTAATAGCTCATGTTTGACATCAAATTTTAACGATTCAACTGTTAAATTTAAAGTTCTTAATGCATAGATCAAATTTGCAAAAAAAATTTTAAACTTAAAAAATATTTAATACTTCGTTTTATTAATTTAAATCAATGTATAAAATAATTTTATGATTATCCGTTAATTTGAATTAATGAAATGAAGTATCAAATGATTTTTAAAATTTTTAAAAAATTGCAGACTTGATCTATACATTAAGAACTTTAAATTTAACTGTTAGATCATTGAAATTTGATGTAAAATATGAATTATAATTAAACAAAGTAAGTATAGGTAGACTTACTGAAATAAAATGATGTCTACTCTCTCTTTATATATATTTGTCTTTTTGTTAAGAGTTATGATGATTATTAACTGTTTGAAATATGTGGCTTATGATAAACCCATAAGAGAATGATGTTATTGAAATGTTGGCTGTGTGAATATAGTTTGAGGCAAATAAAACTCGATCAAGATGATGGTCCGAGGCATGCCTAAGGGTTAGCTCAATAATGTGTTTTCTCCTACACCCCTTTGAACGTGTCATCCATATTCTGATAAAGAAGTGAAGTTGAAGAAAGCTTCATCCATCTCAGCCATTATTTTGATTGTGACCAAAAAAGGAAGCCAATATGAAGACCAAAACCGTGCTTGCTTATCTCAGATTAGATTCTTTAAGAAAAGTCAAACATGGAGAATCTAGAGCTTCAGCAATTTGATTGGATCACTGCAATAATAGGGTGTTCATGGATTGGTTTTTTGAAAAATCCAAACTGAACCAAACCGAACCATTTTATAAAAGTAGATCGGTTAACCGATCCATTTTTTATAAAGTGGATCAGTTTGGTTTTTTTAGAATATGAATTATTTTTTTGAAAATGGATTGGTTCGGTGCAGTGCGGTTATCCACTTTTTACTCACATATAGATTGGTTTTTTTAAAAAACCAAATTGAACCAAACTGATCCACTTTGTAAAAATGGATCGGATAACTGAACCAGTTTTATAAAGTGGTTCGGTTCGGATTTTTTTTTAAATAAATCGAATTTTTCAAAATGAATCGGATTGATTATGGATCAGTTCAAATCAATTTAAATTTTTTACACACTCTTATACAATAGTAGCTAGAGTCAGTGTCTTCATTGTTCAATTAGCACTAGACATTTTGGAGTTGGTATATCACATTACATCTTCAATGTCACATTAATTTTAAATAATTAAAGCAAAAGCATGATCACCGGCTAACTATATATGTTATAAGCTATATAAACGTTTGGATCCAGCTTGCACATTTAGGTCAGCAATTTCGTGCTATTAATTAACAATTTTGGTTTGTATCATGACTTCTTGTCGCTCTTTCATTTCTTCACGGTTCTTCACATTTATTTTATGTATAATTAAAAAGTTAATAAATATAATTTTTTATTAACTAATCTACACTTGTCAACCTTCTATTTATTTTGATTTTTTTTACTCATAGTCATGATAAATATAATATTTTAAAATTAACAATTAAAAACTAATTTATATTCATGAAATAGGACTTTTATTAGGTATAAATTATTTTGATATTATAAAGACCCTACAATACTTATTTTATTTGATACACAATATAAAATTAATACACGAGGAATATATTAGCATCATTATGTTCCCACCGGATTCCGTTCACACATATATATATATAATGCAAGAAAATAACTCTGCAGAAAGTGAACATTAATTATAGCAATGAATAAGCCAAACCGGAGTTAATTATTTATACACTCTTAATGTAATGTAAAGTTTTTTATACTGATAATTAATTATATCTTTTAAAATATTTTTTTTATTATTGTATTAAATAAGCAACTAACATGACACTATTAAAAGATATGATTGGTTGTCAGTGTAAAAACTTTACATTGTCAGTGTATAAGTGATTAACTCATTTGTAATTATTTACACTAATGCGGAAACAGGTTCATGCACGACTACATCACTCAACACATTAAACAAAGAGTTAATCACCTATACATTGTCAGTGTATAAGTGATTACCTCATTTGTAATTATTTACACTAATGCGGAAACAGGTTCATGCACGACTACATCACTCAACACATTAAACAAAGAGTTAATCACCTATACATTGTCAGTGTAAAATTTTTTTATACTAGCAACCAATTATATCTTTTAATAATGACATGTCAGTTACCTATTTAATAAAATAATAATAAAATAAGCAATTTTAAAAAATATGATTAGTTGCTAATATAAATTTTTTTACATTGTATAAAGATGATTAACTCTTAAACAAATGTCAATGTTATGCTAACCAGCGTGATATGAAAATGAAATCTGTAACTACGTACACAACTGCCTCTAACATTTCCTGAACTTGGTTTTATATATTGTACTCGCATTATCTCTCTATATATTAATGCCATTTCAACTAAAAGTAGTAAGTCAAATCGACTACAGGCTGTTGCAACGTTAATTTATTTATTTATTCTATCAATGCTGTGTTTGTTTCCGATTTTTATTTATCATGGACATTTCACTCTTATCAAGGATCATTCATGAAAACCAATAAGAACATTGCAAGCTTTCTCTACGTTTGTATCATGCCAAATAATCATATTTTATATGGTTAGCCATGCCATGTGTCAAACGTCTATATATTACAATCATACTATGTCTCTCACCAAGTGTCAACCATGGACACAATGGATTTTCATCAAGAGACTCTGGTGCAAATTAATGAATTTGTCGAAGATCCCAACTTAGATAAGTTTATCAATTTGATTCGTTGGGAAAACAACGATGCTATTTGTAATAACTTCAATTCTGAGCTTATCAATGAAGCATTCAATGATAACTCATTCATGTCACACGCTCCAATCCCACCTGATCAGTGCAATAGTGATTCTGTGAATGTTTATGATCCAAGCTCTACATTGAGCTCCTTCTCTTGTTTTGATGGGGAAGCCAAAGAAGGAGAAGAAGAAGATAACATGGGGGATTCTTCTGCAACAACAACCACCACAACAGAAATTAAGAATGATAATACTAAGCCAAGACCAAAACCTGATAGGTCCAAAACTTTGGTTTCTGAGAGGAGGAGAAGAAACCGAATGAAGGAGAAGCTTTATGCATTGCGATCTTTGGTTCCCAACATAACTAAGGTAGGTTTGTTCCCTACTGCAAAATTGTAACATTACAAATGGTTATTCATAGTTGAGAAAATTTCATACAAAACAAACTTGATTGATTGCTTATTCATAAGTTAATTAATTCTGACATGATTAATTACACCGCAACGAAGATCGAACTTAAGTGTTATGTATCTACTCCAACCATTTACATGATATACATTTGAAAGTTAAATATAAGTGATATACTAATATAATTAATTATATGGGCAGATGGATAAGGCATCTATCATTGGAGATGCTGTTTCATATATGCACGAGCTTCAAGCACAAGCCAAGATGCTGAAGGCTGAGGTTCAAGGACTTGAAACATCCTTAATGGTGTCAAAAAGTTATCAAGGATCCATTGAAAACCCCATGAAGGTTCAATTCATCAACAACATTCGTGCAATATCCAAGAAGATAAACCAGGTTTTTGGACAAATTAAAATTTTGTTAACCCCATAAACAACTTTTAGTTGGTCTCTGCCACCTCTATTTTAACATCTGTGAATATTTCTTTGTAGATGGACATGTTTCAAGTGGATGAAAAAGGGTTTTATGTAAAAATAGTTTGCAACAAAGGAGAAGGGGTGGCTGCATCATTGTACAGGTCTCTTGAGTCTCTAACAGCATTCAATGTTCAGAATTCAAACATGGCCACAGTTTCTGACAGTTTTCTACTTACATTTTCATTGAATGTAAGTTATCCTCGCATAGTTTGTTTACTTATCTACTCTTTTATTTTAGGCTTAATTGTAGTTTTGCTACTCACTTTTTACCATTTTACAATCTTGTTTGGAATTTGGTGATGTAATATATTAATTGTTTATATGACATGTTAAATCTTGATATGAATTGATAATGTAATATATAGATGATGATGCATTATAATAAGTCATATTATTAACTAACATGTCATATTATATTATCAATATGTCATATATTAATAATCATGATTTATGATATCAAATGATTAATTAATGAGTGATAAAATGTACATAATTTTAAAAATTGAATGAAAAAAATGTAAAATCATACTAATGAAAAATACAATTAAGCTTTATTTTATTTTTGTTCGTGATATTTAATTACTGATTTTGTCAATGATGTGTTGAAAGCAGGCTAAAGGTCGTGAACCAGAAATTAACCTTTACAACTTGAAGCTATGGTTGACTGAAGCTTTTGTGAACCAAGGCTTTGAGTTCACACCTTTTCTTATGCTTGACTCTTTCAATTTATAAACTTTATGCTGTAATTAAGGCTGCATTAGAGCAACTATGATGAGAGAAACATGAAAATCTGTAATATAGGTGCTGGTTAACTAGGAACATTGACATGACTCTTCATTTTTGAGTTTGAGCCATTATTATCATATGGTAGCCGTATTAATTTTTGAGAACCAATAGCAATAGTATGTGTACAAAGATGAATCCAACTTGTCCACATGTTTATATTAACAATTGACGCCTCTGTTTATCTCAGCAGTTCCTAAAATTGCAATATTAATTTCACATTTCGTAAGACTTTGTATATAAATTGTTATCCCATGAGTATAAAAAAATGTTGCCATCTTAATTGATGTGACAATCTACGTCAGTACTGCAAGATTTATCATAAAATTTTAAAGGCAAAATTATATTTGACTAACTTTCTATTAGTTTATTTTTTTATAGCAAGAATTCTTAAAAAAAAATGATCGATGACGTCGATACCATTTTTTTTAAATAAAAAAACTAGATCAGTAATTGAAGGGATGAAAGTACTAATTCATGCTTTATTGGTTCAATGGTAGTTAAATTATTGTAAAATGGGAAGTAATTCAATTGATATTTTAATATTTAATATTTCAAGCAATAACAATATAAAATAATGAAAAATGTGTTAGTCGTTTGAATAGATATTAATATATTGAAGAATTAATCATTAAGAAAATGGTTAACATTATGGTTATTACTTGTATAAACATTCTCATGCTAAAGTCAATGAGTGCTTAAAAGAAAAGTGAGAATTATGATTTTGACTATCCTAAACAACATTTATCACTAGATCACCCTGTGCTGGTCCAAAATGAAAGACGAATTTACCATTTATATAACATAAATGAATTTGAAAAAATAGATGATGCACCCGTGGCGCACAATTTTATACTATTATATCACATGTTATCATTTATAATAAATTAATAATTTTTTTAATAATAAATAAGTAAAAAAATATACCGATGATTGATATCTAATGATTGATAGAGCACAACTATTAAAAGTTACCTGAACTTTAAAAAAAAAATAAAATTAATTAAGTGCGATTTGTTTTAAATGGATTATGAAATTTAAGACAAACTAATCTTTTACGATTTGGTTCAATTCAATTTTTTCTGATTTTAAAATTTGTTATTTAAATATATATAATATTATATTATTTATTTAAAATATATCAAAAATAAAACATTATGTTTACTAGTGTTGGTCTCTATTTTTTATTATAAGAAAAGTAAATACATTTTTTTTAAATATAAATAAATTTTAATCATTTTTATTTTATTTAATGATATTTTTCTTAAAATATCTCGTCTTTAATGTTTAACTTTTCAATTACATTATATTTTCTTTTATATTTATAACAAGGAAAATTTTAAAAAATATTATAAAATTAATAGAATTTAATACAAATAACTAATTTTTTTATTCAATACATTAAAATTCATTTTTTTTTCTTATAATACATTAAAGAATTAATATTTTGTAATTTATTTTTTCACCCAACACGACACTCATGCATTCGATGTCTAAAATTAATTAATCATAGTACGATGAACTTCGTGGCTATTAATTATTAACATTACTTCCTTGTAAAAGAAATTTATTTTTTATCACTTGGCCCATATATATATATATATATATATATATATATATATATATA